ATCCATTTTGTTTCTTAACTCTGAACTTCCAAGATCTCTGAACTTTTTAGTTTGGTTGGTCATCGAAGACTGCTTTGAGGCATGGAGACACCAGCCTCACCAGTTTGACATTTGCACCCATAGTTACAGAAAATGAGTGATAGCTCTGTTGACTTTTACTAATAGTCCAGAGCTTCCTAATGGAAATTAGTGGAGACTCTTTTTGTGTGTGTGTGTGTAAGTAAGTCATCTCAAATAATGGAATACTGCCTAATGGTGCAAGGATCCTGGGATCCATCACCTAAACTCCATAAAGGATTTTTTTTTTCTTTTTGTAGATATCATACCTCGGTTACTTGATGCTATTTAATTACATCATCTTGGTGCGGATGGAAAGGTGGCCGTCAATCCAGGAATGGATTGTCATCTCCTACATTGTCACGTTGGCTTTAGAGAAAGTAAGAGAGGTAAATCTGATCATACGCATAATCCTTAAAATGAAGCTTGCTCTTCGAGGTAAGAATGGTACAGACTCGTGCGGAGGGTTGAGAAGCCACACATGAGAGAGTAGATCCTCGTATCCACAGTCCAAAAATACCCATCGCTGGAGAGAGTTTCCTGTATAACCCATTCCCTTCCCATATTGGGCAAAAGTCTTGCAAAAATGCCCCAGGGTCAGCAGTCAGAACGAACGCTGTCGTATTTCTGAGGAAGGGCAGGGCCGTAACCTATGACAGAAGTCTTGGCACACGCTGTCTTTTTATCACCAATGCAGTCCTTGATGAGAACTGCAGGCACGGGAGGAGCCAGGAGCACTCTCTCACTGATCTCCTTACTCTTGTGTGAGGAAGAGAGCGGAAGAACTGCGCACTCACGTGCCCTGGCGTGGTTTGCACTTAGCCTGTCCTTCTCTGGTTCACAATTCATACCAAATGTGCTTGGAGAGGAATAGAAAGGCCAAATGTTACTGCTTAAAACTTACAAGAAAACCCACCCAACAAAACCTTAATAAAACCAATATAGAAACAAAGATGAAAAGGGGCCACAAAAATGAAAAAAAAAGGACTGGAAGAGCTCTGCTGTGAAGAAAAGCTGAGCAAGATGTTCAGCTTGGAGAAGAGGAGGTTCTTGGGAGACCTTGCTGCAGCCTGTGAAGGGGGCTTATAAAATAAGACGAAGACTTTTTACCGAGGCCCGTAGTGCCAGGACAAGGGACAACCATTTTAAATGGAAAGGAAGCAGGTTTTGATTGGACACACCTATCGAATGTGACAAGATTGGTCTTTTTTCATGGTCATTTCTTCCAAAATGTAACTTGAGTTCTTCCTAATGGTTCTTCTTGAGTTGTTTCTAATGATTTCTTTGCTATTTCTTATTTATTTCAGATCCTGATGTCAGAGCCTGGCAAGCTGAGCCAAAAAGTGAAGGTTTGGCTCCAAGAATACTGGAATATTACTGATCTTGTGGCTATTTCAGTATTTATGATAGGAGCCATCCTTCGCCTACAGAACCAGCCTTACATGGGTTATGGAAGAGTGATTTACTGCGTAGATATCATCTTCTGGTACATTAGAGTACTAGATATCTTTGGTGTGAACAAATACCTGGGACCTTACGTCATGATGATTGGAAAGATGGTTAGTGCCTAAGTTGCTGCAGATTAAGTATTTCAGAAGTTCATGGGAGACAAATTCAGTTCTGATTTTAAAAAGAGGGTTTATATCTGAGTAGGACTCGGAATAAAGGCTGTGAAGAAGTTCCCACGTGAATTTCACAGACACGCAAGGTGCAGTGCTCTTCCTACACAGTTGTTTGATTTGAGAGCAAATCCTTTTTTCCTGTTGCGTTTGGGGTTTTTTTTGTGTTGTTATTTCATTTTTGAACCAGCATGTGGATACCCATGCACTTTGCCTGTCTTCTGCCTCCCAAAGCAGAATTTTCCATCTGAAAAAAGGTAGTTGGGCTTTCATGGATAGCTTCACTGAGGACATAGCAATAAACCATCGCTGGTGACGGCAATGATGGCAGCATCTCTTTGCAACCACAAAAGAGGCCTGTGGTGGAAGCACAGCACAGTGCGCTTGATGCAAAAGAGAATTTGGATAGCAAAGATTTTACCATTTTAAATCTTTTTAAATATAAGTGAAGTATTCCCTTAAATGAATGGTTTTCCTGCATTTTTGTGTATGTTTAATTCATGAGCAGTGGTTAAAATCAGAAAAAAAAAAACCATCATCAAGAAAATTATCCAGGGGAATGTGTTTGCTCTCTTGATGATTTCTGTTTGCTCCAATGCCTCGTTGGCAGACCTCGGGATGGTAAGAGCCTGTGTGTGCTCTCTCTCTGCAGATGATTGACATGCTGTACTTCGTGGTCATCATGCTTGTAGTTCTGATGAGTTTCGGAGTAGCCCGCCAAGCTATCCTGCACCCAGATGAGGAGCCTTCTTGGAGACTCGCTCGCAACATCTTCTACATGCCCTACTGGATGATCTATGGAGAGGTGTTCGCAGACCAGATAGACCGTAAGAGTAGAATTCATAGTAAGAGTCTGTTTCCTGTTTCTGAGGCAGATGATCAGATCCAAATTAACGACTGCTTTTAATTTGGAAGTAGTGTGTTGTCTGTATGATTATATTGTGGTGGTGGTTTTCTTGTGACAGACTCCGGAGAACAGCTTTTTGTTCTCCACCTGCATGTTCCGTCTCTCGGTTTATATTCAAATTCAGCTAACGCTGAGAGTGATAGAGTGGAATGCTCTCCTCTCCAGAGGTATAACAGTATTACCTGTTGTGTTTACTTGCAGGGATCGAGAGAGATCATTCTGAAATATTCTTTTGATACTCAATAGTCAGTTCCAACAGAAGCACAGGAGATGAAACTACATATCTTTCATCTCCAACTCACAGGACAGTCAATGAGCCAATATGTTTTTCTTCTCATTGACCTACCAACTTTCCCGAAATATTTCCAGTCTGTGAATCACTCTTGTCCTTCTTTTCTACACCTATGAGGGGAAAAAAAAAAGGAACCAAAAAAGGAACGCTCTGCTTGATTAGCTTTGAATGTGGAAATAGTCTTGCTTGTATAAAATCTGCACAGTTAGTATTTTAGAGGAGATACAAACTGTCGTGTTGGTGTCAGGTTTGTGTTAATATTTGACATCTGTACAGTCAAACATGCAGCTGACCTCCTCTAGTGTGTGTCAGATAGTTTGCACTTTATCTGAGATAATACAAGCTGCTGTTTCAGCCTTGTGTATGTGTTATTTCAGCCATCAGCATATATGGACAAGTAGTAAAGTGGAAGGCTGAAGAAACTGTGAGGTCTAAGTACAAAAACCGTGAAGATCCATCATCCTGAGAAAACGTTATACCAAATGTTAAAGTGTACTTCAATGGCTTGGGAAGGAATAAAATGTCATTAGTCTGTTGTGAACAGTGTACACTGTTGCAAAGATCATATCTTCATTTTCCTTGCAAATGCTTGTATCATGAATGGAACTTAGGATATAGTAAATAATTCTTCACAAGTAGAAGGTGAAAGCAGTGATTTATTCTCTGATATTGCAGTTTCAGTGCACGTGTGAGCCAGGACAAGCTCAGGATCTCTCGAGTGGGGAGGAACAGAGTGTAACGGGGTATCTCTTACCTTTGTCACCCATGACGTGGATTCAAATCCTACTTCACTTGGAACAAAGGATGTTGGCTAGCGGAAACAGTTTGATGCCTTCATAAATAAAACCTCACACGTTACCAACAATACTGATCTCTTTAGTGTAAGTGGTGCCTCAGACTTCTCTCAGGCATCCGGTCATTTCTCCGTTAAATACTCAGCATCCTTCGAATTACAAATTTTTTGTAGCCAGTGGGAAAGACACTGAGGGGAAAAAAGTTCAGGCCAGCTACTTGCTGCACTAACCTTCCCAAGTTGCTGCTTAAACATAGGTAACTTGGAAATGTGTGGGTTTGTTGTCTGAAATTTGAAATAGAAGTGGCTATGCAGAGTGCTACTGCTATAACTAGACTGCGTTACAAATAGTCTATAAATTTCTTCTGTCTCGAAGTCTGTGGACTGACTTCTGAGCTTTCAGTAAGATTTTTTTTCACTCTGATCTTTCCATGTTTCTCTGTAAACACACCACAAAAGCAACCTCAGAAGTCCCTGGGGAGTGATTGCTATGGGCAGTCTAACCTGACTCTGTGCCAAGTTTTGCCAAGGCCCATGAGTGTAAACAATTTATGGAAAAAGTATTCTGTCGAATTTTCCATCTGAAAAAAGGTAGTTGGGCTTTCATGGATAGCTTCACTGAGGACAGGATGACACCTAAAGACGAAGATCACAAAGCAGAGAATTGCTGCCTTTGGAAGCCGCCTTTGGAGATGGTCTAGTTGAACTTCCCTGCTCAGAGCAGGGTGAACTACAGCAGGTTGCTCGGGGATTATCCCGTCAGGTTTTTAATATCCTGAAGGATGAAGACTCTGGACAACCTGGTTTAAATGGAATTTCCCAAGTTTCGATCTTTGCCCACTGCCTCTTCTCCTTTCACTGGATACCACTGAGAAGGATCTGGCTCTATCTTCTTTATTCCCCCCTCCAACAATGTATTTATGACATTGGTAAGATCATCCTTAACCCTTCTTTTCTCAAGGCTGGTTCACTCTGTTTAGATGATATCCATGAGCAAGAATTTCTAGTGGCTTCTAGTGCTCAACAGCAACACACTCATAGACAACGGAGGAGCCTGGTGGTGTTGGTTTCAAGAGTGTGACTTTTCTTACAATCACCATTTAGGGGCTGGCAAGCAAGTATCCACACTGGTAGTCAAAATGGGCTTTAATGGTGTTGTACCCGGTACCTCAGTACAACTGGCAGGCACAGCCAAGGTGGTTCTTTAAAAACAAACAAACAAAAAAAAGGAAATGTTTCCATAGTTTCTATAAAAGCCGAAAGAATGATTTTGTGTGATAATTTTGAGTTGTTTTGTGTTCATGTTGACGGCCAGTTTTGTTTACTTGCCTGAAATATCATGTGTATTTCAATGATCATCTGCCAGAAGCATTTTGGGATTTATTATTAACATCGGTAGTTGGCTGCCTTATGTAACAGTTGGGAAACACATCCTGAAAAGGAAATTGCAGAATGCAATGAATTTAACAAAAGACATTTCCTAGGCATATGTCTCCACTGTTCTGACATTTGAGTTGTTTATCTTCTCCTGGTGGCAAAACAGTATTTTCAATCTTTTTTTGTTTGGTTGGTTGTTTTTTTTTCTATATTATTCTATTGTTTTCTTTCTCTCCCTGCCTCCTTTTCGTTGCTTTGGAATGCTGTTCAGTCTATGCCATGGAAATTAATCGTAAGTCTCTGTGGAGAGCTGATTGTCTCATTTAGCGGAGTATGTTGATTAATCTTTTTCTTCACTAGATGCTGACATTTTGATTACAGGGCTCATCCAATATTCATGTGTGAATCTCTTTTTTCTACTGTGGGAGTTTCATTTGAAAAGAAGCAGAGGAAAAATGTTTCATTTTAATGCAGATCGCAGAAGTTTTAATTGAGTATATGTGCTTGCTGTGACTTATTTCTAGTATATTAATGGTAAAATAATTATTTTTTTTTAAATTATGATGCATGAGTGTCATGATATGACTAATTCCCTTTGTATCTAGGTAATTCAAGTTAGTGATTCTTTGGCAGTACTTTCATTGGCCCACGTAAATAATACTGTGATTTGCTTGACTCTCCTGTTATACTTTGTGTACAATAAACAGGAAAAATGTAGGTCTGATGTTTGAAAAGCAAGTAAAATATATTTTATTAATCATAGCCTAAATATCTTTTTTAGTCAACAGGAAATAAAATTAGTCTTTTTTGCTAATATGATTTTTCAGGTGAGGTTAAAGCACAGAATTTTTGGCAGAACCTCTGTTCACATAAACTCACTGTTCAACTTAGTATTTATTAAGATTTCACCTAAAGAACTTGTGGCTGATAAACACTTTACCTGCTCCTAAATGGTTCCAAAAGTTAGCTTTGTATTTGAAATCAGAGACGCTGGTACTGCTGTTAAAGACAGAACAAACTTGCTGTATTTGCCCACCTCCAAGACAGCGCTTACCCCAAGAAAACCTCTGTATTCTTAGGATTACTTCAGGCAATTATTTTACATCAGTTTGATCAATATTATCAGTTTGATGTCTTGTTCTCACCCATCTATTTTACAATTTACGTTTTCTAATTTTATCTCTTTGGCTTAAAATCTGGTCTAAAATTTTGAATTATTCTGGGAAATAAGGGAGACAGAAATTGGCCCGAACGTGGTGGCAGGGCCGCCTTCTGGTGACGTTAACAGCCCCAGACTGGACAAAGAATAGCTGGGATCCAGTCGGGGGCACAAGAAGCCAGGGCCAGAGATAGAAGAAGGGTCCATCCGGGGGACAAACCCAGGTCCAGGGTCCTTGTGTACATCTGGGGAGGTACGCACACAAGTTTGGCTGGGGAATTTTTTTTAACGCCGCTATTAATACGTATGGATGCACGTTAAGATCTTGTCCCAGACTAGTGCTATGAGAAAAAGGATATCCCCATGAATTTGAAAAGAAAGCCAGACCACACAGTATAGCTGCCTCTCTGGGCACTATAATGGGAAATCTTTTTTGTGTGCTCTGGTTAGAAGCAGCACTTGAAGTAGAAATTACCCATACGTGCTACTGGAAATAAACCGACAGAATTGGTTCGGTTTGGCAAATTTTATCCATGTGTCATCTTTGAATAAACATGAATAGTGTTTTTAAGTATCAGGCAGTTTGTGAAAAATACCTTTCCTGTTTTTCCTTCAGCTCCATGTGGGGACAATCTTTACGATGATGATGGAAAACGCCTCCCTCCATGTATACCAGGGGCTTGGCTCACTCCTGCTATTATGGCCTGTTACCTCTTGGTAGCAAATATCCTCTTGGTAAACCTGCTCATCGCTGTCTTCAAGTACGTGAATGATCATGGACTGTCTTTCCTTTTTTATCGCTGAGAGAAAGTTTCTGTGAGAGCCCATCGGCCAGTTTTGCAGGGGTTTGCATTTGCACTCAGAATCTAATCACTGCGAACGCATCTGGCAAATACTTGGATTGGGAAAGAGCGGAGGAAAGGCTGCCAGCAATTGCAATAATGCACAGGAGAGAATCGGTCCACTTCCAATTCCCATTCAGTGGACAGTGACAGGCCTCAAGGTTGCTCAGGAAAGATGAAAAATGTAATCCATGAAACCTGCTACGTGCAGGGTGGAAGCCTCTGCAACCACTAGTAAGTGTGATTCTGCAATAGAACTGCTGACTGAAAGGCTGAACATCAAAAGCAGGAGGCATTTCCACCAGCACTACATCGTCTGCCTTCTCTTGCTTTTTTCTTCTCGCTCTGCTTTGCATTTAGGAAAAGAAATTAGGACCTTGCAGAGTTCTTATGCAATCCGGCGAAGGAGGCTCTATGGCCTTGAACCGAGAGAAAGGGCAGCTACGTGTTGCCAAAGTCTGTGGCCGGTGAAGCGATGTGCAGTATGCACATTCTTAATGTTATTTCACAGATCTACATTTAGACAAAAAAATGCTTTTTCTGTCATGATCTCAGGATTAAAAAAAAAAAAAAAAAGAAATATCTACTTGCTCCTAAGGCCTTCTGAACACACCACCTGAGAGGAGGAGGTGATCTGGTTTTGATGCCCATAAACATGCGGTGTTGGAGGGCTTGGCAGCATAGGTAGCTCGTGTGGCAACCACAAAACCAATTCCTCATGTGCCCAGAAATCTACAGCTCACAAAGCCTGTCTTTCATTTGATGTATGTAGCTTAAAAGGTCATGAATTTTCAAGGGCTCTAATGCCAGTCACATCGCTAGGGGGAAGGGAAGAATCTACAATGGTGGCTATTATTGGCTGAAGGAGCAAGGAATCGGGCAGTTTGGGAAGTAGGTCACGCTGTTAACTCCTGCCGGCCCAACACGGCTGCAAGGCAGGGAGATGTAGCTGGGGAGTTCTGCTACGCAGGACACGTGGAACGAAGGCAGTTTGGCACTTCGCGTTGGTAAATTCGCTATCAGGTAGACTTAGCCAAAAAGCAACCCAAAGCTGTGTGTCCTCAAAAATCCTCTGGTTTCAAAGAGGTGTTTTAACTGGTTTTTGTGGATGTAGATACTCTGACACACAGAAAGTTAGGAAAGAAGTGGACAGAAAATAGAAAAAAAGGAGTGCCAATATCGTCATCATGGAGCTGTCTGCGCATACTTAAAATAGCTTCAAAAGGTTTATCTAAGAACGTCAAGTCTGCTTTCCCATAGTTGGTATTTCGTAACCTTGACTATTGTTATATCTGCATTAAAGACTGCCACTTGTGCTCCTTCATATCCACTGTATTACAAGACAAAACATCTTTATAACACATCCTATTTTGGTGTAGGAATAATGAGGCCATGGCTTCCAAGAACAAATTTCTTTACGAGAATATGCACCATGTTTTTGACCCAGAAGTTTGAGTGAATTAAGTTTGAATTTAGGACGTTTGGTGAAAACTTGAAAATTCTTGTATGTAGGTCATGCTGATTAGCATATTAAAGGCAACCTAGGTGAAGCTTCTGGGCTTAGCATACAAAATACGTTTTATGGATTTAGTACTTTGTGTAATAACTACTGGCATGTGTTAGAAGAAATGCTTTATGACTAAGCCCCCCAAAATACCGATTATGTGATTATTAAATTGTGCAAGTTTCTTTTCACTGGCACCTAAAGGGCTTTATACAGGAGGAGAAGGGAAGGACTGTTGAGAGTGGTACAGAAGGGGTGCAAAGCACCTTCTGCTTTGCTACGCTCAAAAGCAGTAGTGAAACCAGTTCAAGAGCATCAACACGGAGCGAGTCACGTGGCCTCACGCTGTTATTTAGCCGCTACCTAGTTCTAGCTTGATGATTAAACTTTAGGGGCCTACCAGAAACTGTGTTTATATTCCCTTTCAGCAATACCTTCTTTGAGGTAAAATCAATATCCAACCAAGTCTGGAAGTTCCAGCGGTACCAGCTGATCATGACGTTCCATGACAGACCCGTCCTCCCGCCGCCGATGATTATCTTCAGCCACATCTACATAATCATCAAGCGCATCTGCTGTCGCTGCAGGAAGGGTGAAGGAGACCAGGACGAGCGAGACAGGGGACTGAGTATGCACAAAATCTTTTCCACATTGAGCTCTTTGCACCGTATCAGCAGAAAGCAGCAGCTTTTCCAATGCTGAACTATTCTGTCCGTGCTGACAGTCAAGTGCATTTGCAGAAGACAGTATGGGACAAAATTTATATCGAGTTAACAGCTCTTGAGCTCCACGAGCTCCTGACAATACGCAGGGCTGTGCTGCTGATGAAAACTTTCTTTAGTATGTTTTTTTAAAACAGTGAGATGACATCTTAATCCAGTTTTACCAAGTTTTAGTGAAGTCCACATGTTGGGGAGGGCAAAGAGGAACTTGAGAAGAAGGGATCACAGTTTCAAATGTCATCTGTAGTGTCTGCTCTGTGACTGTGAGCGGTCTGTGCCTATGACTATTCCCACTTCCCTTTCTCCATGTTAGAGATTTATCTGTCATTTCACAAGGGAACTGTGAGGATTCTTCTCCTAACATATGCTGTAATTACTAGTTATTTTAATCATATGTCTTATTGACATAATTAGACATTAATTCTCTCTGTATTTCTAAATTTCACAGGAAACGTATTTTGTAAGTAATTATACTCCTGCACAATATGCTTCTGAGTTAAAAAAAAGAAAAAAAGAGAAAACAGCTAAATGTAATGCTCTTTCCAATTACAAAGAGACAGATTCAAATAAAGGATGGAATGTTCCCAAGAGCTTATATTTCCCTTGGATTTTCCGTACAGGATTATAAAGCTCTTATCCAAAAAATGTCTGGAAAACGATCTTTTATATTGGATCATCTGTTGCCTGTAACCGTCATCCTTTTAAGAATAATATTTGAATGAAGAAAGAGTCAAACCGACAGAAATTGCCTCAGTCTTTATCCTGTAAAATCTAATCAGTCTTTTCAGCGTGTAGCACTGCTGTTACAAAGTGCAAAAGCCATTGAGAAAATAGAGTCCCCAGTGGATGGTCATAAAAGCAGATCAATGGCCATAATTCATTACGTTGCCTTTAGGGCTGTGGCCGTCTTTGACTAAACTCTCATCACCTATTATCAAAATCATCGGTTCATTTAGTGCAGGAATAGAATCTACAGTATCTGTATGTCCAAAATAATCTTCTAAATTGGATTTAAATTGACCGCTAGAAGTTCAGAAAAAGGAAACTCATCTTTGGTTCTTCTGTTTTGCACAGAGTTATTTCTGAATGATGAAGAGCTAAAAAAACTGTATGAGTTTGAAGAGGAGTGTGTAGAAGAATACTTCCAAGAAAAAGAGGACGAGGAGCAATCATCTAATGATGAACGCATCAGAGTTACCTCTGAAAGGTACCTATTATAAGAAAAAAAACCGCACCACTTATCTGAAACAATACTTGAGTTTTTGTGTCTCCATTATAACCCAAGTTGCCTTAAAGTACAAAAAATTTAGATCATGAAGAAAACCACCACCAATTCTGAAGCTGATCTGAATCCTGGGTAAATGTCTGTGCAGGTGCATCTCTCACAAGCGCAAGGATTTTGTTGTTCCTGCTGGTTTGGGTACCCTTGGTATAAGAACAGTTTTGTTCATGGTGAATTTTTTCCCTCTCACCCACCTGGAGATGACAGTTATGCCTTTTATCTGTTGGAGCAAATGACTAGTTGCTGAGCTTCCTACAGCTCATCCAACCATGAGAAACATGTTGAAGCTTAATGACAAGAGCACTAAGGATTCTTCCCCTGGCCCTGTGGTTGACATTAGGGTCCAGCACTCCCAAGTGCTGAATTTTAATCTCCGCCGCGTGTTCTCTCAGAAGGCTGAACAAGGCATTTGGCTTTTCAGTGTGCACCTCCCCATTTAGAAGACAGGGAATAATCGCATGTAAATCATTAAGCTTTTCTGAGGACTAGGTAATGCTTCCATTTTGCTGTGTAAGCACAAAGGGATCATGGCAGCAGCACTTCTGGACCAGGTGACATGGCAGGACTGTTCCCAAAGTCAGTCCTTGGCAGGGCTAAGTCAGTCGAAGGACGGGGTCTTTTGTCACATCCTTGAGACTATGAAAAATTCTCCCTGCCATGGAAATGACACAGAGTTTAAACACTTTTTCATTAATCTACTTTACAGTTTTTTGATGATGGACTCCATACCTGTCTGTCTGTCCTTCTAGCTATCTGTCTGTCCATCTGTCTGTCTATCTATCCATCTGTCCATCTGTCTATCTGTCTGTCTATCTATCTATCTATCATCTATCCGTCTATCTGTCTATTTATCTGTCCATCTATCTGTCCATCTGTCTATCTATCTAACTATCTATCCATCTATCTGTCCATCTGTCTGTCCATCTATCTATCTATCTACCTACCTATCTATCCATCTGTCCATCTGTCTGTCTGTCCATCTGTCTATCTGTCTATCTATCTATCTATCTATCTATCCATCTGTCCATCTATCTATCTGTCTGTCCATCTTTCTATCTGTCTATCTGTCTATCTATTTATCTAGCTGTCTATCTATCTCTCCATCTATCTATCTATCTATCTGTCTATCTATCTATCCCTCTATCCGTCTATCCGTCCATTCATCTATCTGTCTGTCCATCTGTCTGTCTGTCTGTCTATCTATCTCCCTTTTAACGTTTCTAATGAAGTATCTCTGTGAGCCATAGAATTCTGTACTGGATAAACATCCTTCTCTTGAAGGGAGGCCCCAAACACCTTGCATTATTTTAGGTGAAGTTTGAGAACAGAGAAGTAAATGAACTCTGCTGCGTGCATTCAGGCAGTTTCTATTGCACTATTTATCCATGGCAATTTGTCAAAATCCTAGGTATTGTGGCAGAGAATAAAGCAGGGCTGGTAAGCCTCACTGATTCACTATGGTCTATGGCCACAAAGCAGATTTGCTTATTTCTCATGGCTTCTTGCTCCAGATGCCTCGTCATCTTTTGTGTGTGAGAGCAAAAGAATGTTAATTTAATTTCCACAGTTGATTTACTAGTGTATGATCGCTACGTCACATTCTAATGCATTACTTTTATATGCCTTCTTCTGGTACCATCACTTCCGTTATGGCACATGAAAAAAATGGGAAAACCTATTATTGTAATTGAACTACACAATAATTCCACTGAAAGGTATTTCAAGAGTTAAAGTAATCCCCCGCCACACCAGCATACGTTCTCTCTTACAGCTACAAAACCTATTTTACAACATGCCTTGACGCTGTTTTAAGTCATCCAGTGAGCACATCATTTGAAAGTATTTTTCAGATAATTAATTGATGCTTCACAGTGAGAGAGGGCAACCCTTTGACTCCTCAGCGAGAGAGGAGTGTGAAGCGGGTAGCACGCTCAGAAGTGTTCACAGGAGGCTGTCCCTAAGGGCTGAGACTCTTGTACTCTCCTGGCATGGGTCAAATAGCCCTCTCATATGGTTGCTGGAAAGCACAGTTAACAAGAAAGTGCACACAGAGCACGTGGGATGCTACACACAGGAAAGAAAGAGTGATGCATGATACATAGCCCAAAATTCTGCCCTGGGAAGAAATCAGTAGGTGGTGCCTATAGCAGGTTACTGCACCGTTCCACAGCTTCTGTTCTGTGCTTCCTCTTTTATCCCCAACAGAGTTGAAAATATGTCTATGAGGCTAGAAGAAGTGAACGAAAGAGAACATTTTATGAAAGCTTCTCTTCAAACAGTCGACCTTCGACTCTCTCAGTTGGAAGAACTCTCTGGTCGGATGGTGAATGCTCTTGAGAAGCTGGTGGGTATTGACAAATCTGAGCTGACGTACACACGTTCCCGAGCTTCGTCCGAGTGTGATGCTGGCTATCTCCTAAGGCAAAGCAGTGTTAACAGCTCTGACGGCTACAGCATGTACAGATACCACGTCAGCGGTGACGAGTTAACCTATGATGACAGTGCCACTCCTATGTCACCAGCCATGGGGCTGCGTAGAAAAGCCCACTCGATTGGTACCAGAGAAGATGGAGCCGACTCAAGGATGCTGGTTCCAGAACACGCCGCCGGTCTCCATTATAGCTCTAGTGCTAATGCAGTCACCACAGCAGATTCCACTAAATCAACGGGAGAAATGGCACAGAATGTTTCTAGAGCCCGTTCTAGTTCAGGTGTTTTTGACGACGAAAAGCAGGGGATTGTCAAGAGCGATGGGATGGTTCCTCAAAGTGTAAATCAGATGGATGCTGTTACGAACAGTCAGTCAGTACCAAGGTCAGATTTTCAGAACACGCAGTTAAAGGTAGAACGTACCAAGTTAGAAGCAACCATCTCTTACCCCTTGGACAAGTCCAAAGCTATGCGCTATTTTCCTCCTGAGACGTTCAGTACATGTCAAACCACTATGATGAAGTCGAGGAGCTTTATATTTGCACAGGGTGGGAAAGTGGTTGGAGGAGTTAACAACTGGACCACGGAGTACAGCACCATCATGGATCAGGTGTGCCCTTCTGCCATTGAACAATGGGCCACAGAGTGGAAATACAAAGTCGAGCAGCAACTTTCTCAAGAGCGTCCCCCGGAATACCCGGGCTTCGTTTCTGAAGCAGAAAGGCAAGCAGAGCAGAAACAGTCACAGATGGACACAGATGATGACAGCGATGGTGGGGAAGCAGGGATGAGTGCCTCTGACACCTCTATGCCTGCCACTGTAAAGGCCGAGAAACAGAATTTACTATCGGTAAAGCCAGAAAGGACTTCTGGGTTCCCATCAGTACGGTCAAAGAGTTTGCACAGCCACTCTCGGAAAGCCAAGTCTGTAAAGGACAAATTAAATAGACCAGGACATGCCAGCAGCGTGACTAATTTGGTAGTAGCGTTTGGCAGTGCAACAGAAGAACAGAAAGTTAGGCAAGAAAATGCATCCACAGAAACTGAATGTTGAAGTGGCTACGGCCCGTTTCATCAGCAGTCACGAAAGCAGCATGACTAACTGAACAAATTCTGTATTTTTTAATTAACTGTGAAGAAGAATTTTGCATATATTTGTTTCTCTTCATTTTAAACTTAATAGCTATATGCTCTGTCCTTAAATAAATGCTTGCTGGGTCAGGTGAAAGGGAGATGTTCTCAGGGGCAGATAAAAAGTAGGCACAGTCCACAGATGCCATTTCCACCTTCCATTGCAACCTTCCTTGTAAGCTCCTTTATAAAAGCTCATGGAAGAAGAAGGTCAGTATTATCATCTAATAACTTAGAGAACATTATTACTTCTTTTTTATCATAAGAGTTCTTAAACTCAACAAATTTTTAACCAGCCTTAGTTTTTATCCTTACTTACGCAGCTGGTTTCTCTGTGGCCATTGCTTTTCAGATCCAAACAAAATTGTTGGAGGCAAAGAAAACTTACAGAGTCCCATATTTCATTTCTGATTTCACGCATGCTTCTTAGTTCCTCATTCAGAAAACCTCAACAGAGCAGTTTTCATCCACAGAAATAGGTCCAAGTGGCAGGATACAGTTGTGTTTGGAGAAGCGTGACCAGGAAGGCCACGTGCAGGCACGTTCTTGACCTGTCCTTGAATTTTAGTGACACCTTGCTTTCTGGATCATACCTGTCCCCACCCCAAAGCACGCTGACAGCCTTAAACTGCTGAAAACCAGATGTCTCGGGAATTTTTAATTAGATGAAGTATATGAAGATTTTAATAATATGAATCCAGGGTCTGCATTAGTGTTCTATTTAAATGAGTCCACACAGAGTAAGAATCTGGCTTTTTTTAAAAAAATGCCTGCAAAGGAAAACAAAACAAAACAGTTCTGACCAGGTGACATAAAAATGTAGCTTGAAGAAAATCAGCCATGACAAATTCACCTTTTATTTTGCAATTTCATTGTGATAACACGAGGAACACGCAACAGTTTTTAGGAGTCAATTTAAACAACAACAACAAATTTCTAGATGAGAATAGAAATGCCGTGCACGTTCTTGAGTAAATCCCAAAACAAATGTCAAAGGGGAGAAAAAGGCGCTGCAGCGGAAGTGGGTTTTCTCCCTCAGCAGCTAGGACTGGAAATCCCCATCTGCAGTTAGAGCTTCCCAGCACACCTCTCTCATTCCAAGTACTAGACTTTCTGCACAGTGCGATGCTGTTTGGGCTGCGCACCATTGACCAGACAAGAAAGAAAAAGAGTTAAAAGCATGTTACTTGTTCACAGAATCCTCAGCAGAAGCTTATGCTTGACACGTCAACCATCAGGACTTATTCATATATTATTTTGAAAAGGCAGAATTTTTTCCCCCTGCTGTATCAGCTCCAGAGGACGTAGGTCTCCGCACCCTCCTTGAGAGCACCACTTACAGCATTTTGAAATGCAGGGATTGGTGGAAGACTCTACGAACGCATTGATGGCATCAGCTTTTTATTGGTTTTATTCCGTTTCCACACTCCATCCATACTTACACCTTGAAACACTGTTACCACACTGAATGATCCTGGTAACTGCATGGACGTTTCTGAAACTTCAGTTATCACCTATTCTGGATTTTTGCTCGCTCGGTAGCAGGTTTACTGGTTTCGGGGTGTTGACATTTCGCTCTTTGTGTGGGCTTAGGGAACTTGACTTTTTGTAAAAGCAGAATGGCAACTGAAATTGTTCCCCTTCCACGTTTACTCCTGTGTTACTATTCTGTGCAACTCCATGGCCATTTTGTACGGGTGGTTAAAACAGCCTCCGACTTGCCAATGCCTTTTTATTGTTTGCCTGCACACTCACCAGAAACGGCTTCGTTAACAAACACAAAGGGATGCAGCTTTTCAGCACTTTGCTAAACCAGCGGTATGCATTGTGGAACAAAATACAGCGGGTTTGCATGCCTCTTGGTACATTGTCTTTATAAAATGTGTGTTCAACCGCGCTCTGTTTGACCGGTTACTTTTTTTTTAGCATTTACATTAAGGATTTGTCAGACAGCACGTAGATTTCAAACAAAAGCATTTAACCTTTGTATTTATTTCCTTTGTGTAAAAAAAAAATTTATAAAGGAACACATGAAAAAGATGTGACATTAATTCAGAATAGCAAATTGTTCACTATAATGATATCCAAACACCTGTTTCTTCGTATGCAGTACGTGGGCTGAACATTTTATAAGCAAAGTTTCTTTTTTAACGTTTGCCACTGATTTTCCAAATAGTTCTCTATACGGTGATGACTTTATACGGCTTGGATGTTTTCTGTGCTCTTGCCTAGAATGAACTGAAATAATAACCTCTCTGCCATTAACTGTGAAGTAACTAACTTTGGCAGAGTTACTTTAGACATAGAGACGTTTTACTATGATTTAAATATGGCTCTGTACGTGCACAGAAGACCCAACAGCAGACCTGGAGTGCGCTAAAGGGAATAACCATCAACACATTTGCGTGTCTGCCCACGTGCTTTCTTGAATCCTGGCCAAAAGGATGCAAGCACAGGATTGGATTTCCAAGGGGGCATGTTTAATACTGCTTTTCAGTAAGATGCTTCTCTCCTCCTGCTAAGTATGCGGTGACTCCACAACAGTGTCACTCTGAATTCCACTTACTGGTGTTTTTATTACGTGCTTGACCTATACTGAACCAGGTCAAGCCTAAAGAGTATGTGCTCTAAGGCTACGTCTGTGCAGAGACATTACCCCGAGGTAATTTATTTGTTCACCTCACAGTGCAGACATTTCCCTCTCTCTCAAGGCAAATGATTTAAACATGGTGACTAATTGTAATATTCACATAGGCAGGTTCTTAACTATACCAGCTGATTCCATGAATTATCCCTTTTTACATTGCTTGACCTTTGGCAAGATGTCTGTCTGTCCTTCCAAATAAAACCTAAGAGAATACGAGTATCTGCAAGGCCTTGTTAGAAAACAGGAGCATGAGGAAGGGTGCATGACCAAGGACGTCAACGGGCTTATTTCATTAGATCGGCAGGATCCGCAGGATTGTGCCCTCTCAGGGGTGCTCTGGGTATTTGACACAAAGCCAGTTTGCTGCTGAGCACTTGCCACGGAGGAGGTGAGTTCTCGGAGTGACAGCAGCCCTTGGACACGTTCTTAACAGTCTAATATATGAATTATTATTAGTCTAGATCTAAATACAAAATAGGAGAGACAAGAGAGGAAAGAATACTACTACTACAGGGAAAAAACCCACAATGAGGTAAAATTCATGTATGTGCATTTCCTACGATCTGCCCCATTGTTTTCTTTTAATGTGATGTTATATTTACACTTGCACTGATCCTCTGGGTCTCACAGTCAGTGGCTGCAGTGAGGAAATACTGCCAGCATCCTAGGGCCTTCGCTAGGATGAGCACGATGCTGATGTTGTTACTTTCTTTTTCCTTATCTTTTGCTTGCTTACGGCTGTTTTGATGTTTGCTGCCAACTTTACAGTCCTGGTTCTCAAATCCTACAATTACATTTGAATTTCCTAGTCACGAGAAGAAATGCTTTCACAGCTAAACAAGCAAAGGGACAGCTTGAGGCAGGTTAAGGCAAGTTCAGACACAGCAGTCCTGACAAGCCTCAGCCCTGAGGCCTTACAAAGTCAGCACAAAGCCTGTTACCCGCAGTGGCAATACTCTATCTACTGAACTCTGAGGCTACATTAGCCCTAGAGGGGTTTTTGCCTCACTACAGGCACTGCAGGTAAGTGTTCTGAGTATTTCAGCCTAATTGTGGATTTTGAACCATCCAGTCTCAGACAGAAAGAGGAAACAGATGCAAGGACCTTGGTGATACAACCATTTAATGCCCATTTCAACTGGTGCCAGGGTCCAGGGGGCTTGGGGTAGTCAGGTACACGGCGGTAGTTTGGATTGCAGGCTAACCAACTGCAAGCCTTGGGAGAAGTGAGACAAGAACTACAGGTTTCCTTAAAACCACAATCATCATCTGCTTTTTTCAACTTGTAGCCTTATCTGCAGAAACAAAATTTGATATGACAGAGTGGTGCTTTACGGTTGATGCCCTGTGTGTTTACAAGGGGTGTAAGGTATGTCTTGATGAGAGGCTTTCAATTATTCCTTGCAGTTGTGTTCAGCCAAAATATGCAAGTGTCTGTATCCACCTTTTGCTTGGTGTTAACGAAAAAGAAGTTCCGTAATTTCATCTGCCCTGTTCCCCTTTTGTCTCTACAACATTCAAACCCTTACCAGAGTGCAGTGCTTCGTCCTGCGTGATCCTAGATGCAGGCATCTCCCTTGTCTCGCGCTAACTGGACTGCAAGCTATTACCTGGGCAGACCAAAGCCTTCAAAACGGCCATGGAGAAAGATTGGTTTGTAGTTTAGGAGCCCCTGGGCAGCTGACAGTCACTAGTACAACACCTCTGTGGAACAGCCTGGGCCAAGGTGGAACCTTGTACCGACGAACAGCTCCAAATGACTCTAGGCAAGTAGTACCTCCATAATGATTCACATGAAAAGTACCCTTTTGTAACATAGCAAAGTTCAACATCATTAAATCTCTTCACAGAGAATACAACCTCCCCTTCGCAGATGTGCCTTGTAAAGGAGGTTTTTTTCCTGAGACGCCTCAAGAAACTAAAATTTTTGCATAGTTTTTATGCCTTCTCTATATCTATTGGCTGTTTTATGTGGATAATCACACTTTGAATATTCTTCTGCTGGATCTTCATCAAAGACACTCCTGAAAGAGATGGGTTTTTTCAACTGCCTAATGTTTTTTTCTTCTGTAAGAGGTACAGACCTGCAGGGCTGGCTTCCTCATGAATCCTCAGCAGCAGTCCCACGCTTCCAGGTGCAAGCTGAGTCCGCTTGGTTGTGCAAACTATTGAGTGCACGAGCAGGGAGGTGTCCAGGTAAAGTAACGAACCATAACACTCTCTGTGAAAAACAGAACAGACTTTCATCAGTGAATCCCTGCCTTTGCAGACTTGCC